TGAGCAGGCCGGAGGCGAAACAAAACACGAGAAAGCATACGGAACGGGGCAGATGTGACGTGCACCCCGAATGCAAGCCGGAACGGCTCCGCCAGCGCCGCACAAAATGAGGCGACAGTAAGAGACATCAAATAACTGTAGTCCTGAAAACCCAAGAAAGGACAAGACAACCCGATGCGAAAGAGAAGACAACATATGAAGAGCTAGAAAAAGGTGCACAGAAACACCAGGAACGTCATACTGTCGCCGAGACGAAGCTCGCAGGTGGGACACCATCAACGAAGCCACCGGATCACCAGAGAGATGGTGATACCTGCGTCAAAATACCAGACGCGAAGAGCCGAGGAGAAGGCCGAACCAGTCACATACAGGACTGATCCGACCTGCCAAAAGAGGCGGAGCCACAGGAAAAATGCCCCCGGTTCGGACACCCATCAAGCAGCGTCTGAAAATAAAGCTGTGCCGGCCACCAAGGAACCATAAGGACTGCTCTCGTGGGAATGAGCTGCAACCGAGCCAGAACCCGAAGCAACAGCTGGACCGAGAGAAGAGGAACAGGTACCCCCACCTCGACCAGTCCTGCCGAAAAGCATCCAACGTGAACACCTCGCAGGTGGGTAAGGGCGCCACATAAAATGGGCGACGCCTAGGCCACGCCGACTCGAAGACGTCTATGGCCAGGAGTCCATACGTCCGGCAGAGCCAACAAAACGAGTCGGCGACGACTGGCCAATCTGCGAACAGAGGAATGAACCGAGACAGCTGTCCGCCAGGACGCAGGACACACCCCGGACATGAACCTCATGGCTAGCCAAACCCCGAGAATCCAGCAAACGAGCCACTCTAAGGAACCAACCCTAAAGGTCAACACCTAAGAGAAACCCTGTGGTTGCGGCAAGAACCGCCAGAGAACAGTCCGAACGGAGCTGAATGGTAGAGCACTGAGTGACCCAAATCCTCCGAAGCGCAAACCAGACAGCCACGAACTCCCGAACCGTGCTGTGAGCCCGACGGAGGGACAGACTCCACCATTCTCGGCCGACTTGGTGAGCACTGGTCACAAAGCCCCAGCCGAGAGATGACCCGTCCGTGAACACATCGAGCGAAGGCTTGGGGAGGTGCCAATGCACGGAACCCCGAAAACCCCAAAGAGGAACCCAACGATTGCAAGAGGCGGAAGGGAAGTCTTCAAAGGAACCAACAGACGCCGAAGCCAAACCCGACCCCGCGGGCAGACCAGCATGTCGAAGTCGAACTGCAGACCCCCACACAACCACTCGAGCAACCCGGCACCCCCTCATGAACAGCCAAAGACGGGACCACAGCCGCAGCAACACTTCTGGAGGGAAAGACATGGAGTGGCCCAATAGCCCTAAACAAGGCCCAGCCAGGGCCGAACCCGGGACGGAAACAGATGGAATGGCCTCCAGATCACCAGGAAACCAAACCCGGTGATCTGGAAAGAACCACACCCCTGGTGAGCAGACAAGCGGACTGACTGGGAGACTGGCTTCCGACGACCAGCCAGTTGTCGAGGTAGGCCAGACACCGAATCTCAAGCAGACCCAGACAGGGCACCAAGATCCTGTAAAGATGCAAAAAAGCACCAAGTGCCAAATTACAAAATAGGGAAGGCAACAAAAGCGGCAAGCCCCACCACCAACTGTGCCAGTCCCAGAAAACTGGAGAGGAACGTGCCAAGAATTGACCTGGAGGTCCAGGGCCACCATCCAGGCACCCGGCCCCAACAGAAGCCGAACAGGAGAGAACAGTCCTCCAATGAGGGCATAGAATCCAGGGTGCAGACTGAAGAAGTCCAGAAGAACAGCAGATTCGAAAGGCCCATGTCTGCAATGAGCCGATGGGAACCCCAGAAAGATGGGGCGGATCGACCACGTACAACGCACCCACTAAGATGACATAACGAAGTGCAGGGGAAGAAGCCCACCCTGCCAGCTCTAAATCCCCCAAAGGGGGAGAAGCCGTCCATCGCCGCCACCAGAGGCCGGAAGACAACCAAAAGCACCCACCAACAGCGAGACCAGGCGAGTGTCAACAGAGCAAGCTGCTCCCCAGCGCCCCGTCAACAGAGAAGGGAACAGAGCCCCTTCTGAAAGAAATAGTAAACATACACATATACACACACTGTATATACATATTATGCACATACACATACACACAAGGTATGTTACACACACGTGCATATACACATGTGCACACACACACACAGTGTACACATGCACATGTGAACACACACACATACTGTACACTTGAAAAGAAAATTACAAGCCGCCGACCAGTGGGCAGAGAACACCACGCCGGCCAGGCAAAGAAGGCACAAAACTGCATCAAAAGGCCCACCTCGACGACAAAACCTCATCGACCAGCACGACCACAACATGTGCCAAGACCCAAAAGATCAGTCTGCAAGCCAAGAAGACCCCGGAACTCCAGAAGGCAGAACCCGGTCACACACGAGGAAACAAAGCCCCTTGAACCCACAAAGGGGGCCCATGAGGAAGAAACCTCCGAAACGAAACCAAAGAACCCAAAGGAACCTGGAACTGAACCAGAAGGAGCCCAAACCACCACATTTGCCGGCGGAGAAACACCACAGAAAGGCATAGCACAGCCCCCAGACAGAACCCCCTGGGAAATGGTCAAAACAGACCAAAAACCGAGGGACAAGGTGTGGGAGCAAGCATAACAGCCAGGGACACTGAGCCCAAACCCAAGGGCCCAGACCCAAAACAGACAAAATGGGAAACCCGGTGTAAAATCAACACCCAAACGTTCCGAGAGGAACAGGAAACGGGCAGAAAACACCAGAAAAGCAAAGAAACGACAACAGGAGAATAAAACTCCTGCAAAAAAGGTGAAAACTCACGCAAGAAGCTCGCTCGCACACCCAGGCACATGTAAACAAACTGCAACGCTGCCCTGGTGGCCACGCCAGGAAACCGGCAGACGAAAATGGCCGCCAGAAACGAGGGCTGTGACCGACGCAAAAATTACGAAAACACGCCAGCAAAAGTGGGAAGCAAGCAGACTGGATGGGCGAAAAACTCCGCCCAAAAGCAGAAAAACCCAGACAGGGACAAACCGCCCCAGAACTGCTAGCAGGCATCCCCCACAGCCCCGGAAACAAGCAACAGAGGCCCCGGGGCAGAGCCGTCCTCCAAGCCCTCCGCACTTAAACAAAAGGAAGAGTCCATGGGAAAGGCAATAAGAAAGGGCCCTGATAAGACCCAGAAGCCTTGGCAGGAGGAACAGGCTCGAAAACCTCCGTCCCCCTAACCCGAACGGGGCAGCCCCTGCAAACCGCCCGAGTCTCGGCCCCAATTAAACCCCGCCCCGACCCTGAAACCCGCAGACGGTCCGGAGCCGGGAACAGGGAGGGAATGGGCCGAACAGCACCTAACCAAAACGGGGCGGCCTCGGGGCATCTGAGTGGGAAACCAACCTAGCATGTTGCAGCAACCTAACCCAGCTTGCAACATGGATGCTGCCTGTACTCTGAACAGTAATAACATCAGGAGAGTACTGGAGAACAAGCAGAGAATCTCTCTCGCAAGACTCCGGGTCAAGGTGTCAGTGACCCAACAGGCAGCATGACGGAGGTAAAAGTGGCGACTGTCACCCAGAGACAAGGGCACAGCAACCAGCGATCCCGTACAAGACAGGTTGGAACCCGGAAGACATTCAATGGTCCACCGAGCCCAGACAGGGGTTTCCAGGGCCCGTAGGCTGACTACTACGGGAAGCCTGGGCAAGGTGTTGCTAACCGGTTAAGAAACCCAGAAATAACAAGAGGATAGAGGATAGCACTGAAAACCCCTGCGACGTGCACAATCACGGGGGCCTAGCAGAGGGCCGCCAAACACTACCAGTGGAACTATAGCCACACTGGGCAGATCCCCACCAGACAATTGAAAATAAAAACAAAAGAAAACCCCCGCAAAAGTACACCATCTCCAGAGGCAACAGGAACCGGCCGCCGCTTAGGTGGCAGGCTGTGCAACACCTTGACACCCTAACCAGCACAATACCAATCCCTACCCAGGGCCAAACAAGGGCCCCCAGCCTCAGCTGGCCCCAAGGGCGAGACAAATACCGAGCAGCAAGAACCTCTACGGGAATGGTTCCCGAACGCCCCAGGGAAGATAACCCTGTTACGCAAGGGGCAGTACTTACAGGGCACTTAGGGAAGTAAGCCACTAAGCGCATGCAGCCCGGCACTGATGAGGTACTCCTGGCCACCGCACAACACAACACACGGCAGTGAACGCCACACAAGGCCATCACTACCTAGGAAACCGAGGCCAGAGAAGGGTCTATCTCGGTTGACACTAGCTTGTAAACTGAAGCTTGGCAGCCGGCGCAGTAGGTCCGGGGCTCCCCCCTCCCCCTTTCGGGGCGGTGAGGGCTGCGCGGACGATCGGTGCGGCAGTAAAGTGTGATGTTTGCTTGTTTGCTTGTTTCCTTGGGATTGTAGGGACTTTCTACCTCTCTGTTCGTTTTTTTGTTTTAGTTTTTTACCATGTGGGGTTTGTTTTGTTTTTGCCTACCTTTCTGGGTGCCTAACCCCGGTCGATGGCAGATAAGGAAAACCCCAGCCACAGGGGGATTTTCCAGGGCCATTGCTCCCTGAAACCTCTCTGAAGGGGCCAGGTTCTTGTGCTGGTCCCTGGTAGGTCTGAACTCCTTTGCTAATGTCCCGGTCTAATATAACATACATTAGCCCGATAAGCTCCAGGGAGCCGTAGGGACTCCCCACAGAAAACATTGATCCAAGTGTGTGAAATAATCACATGTGAAGAATTAGAGAATGCTGAATGCATTTGTGGCTCAATATGCCTTCATCAGAGCAAGATAGAGTGAGACATTATCTTGGTACACAAGTGCTGAAGCTCAAACCCCACAAGCACAACTAGGTGAATACAATTAAGTGAGTACACACAAACCTAAATATTAAAATAAGCCAAAAAAAACTTGATTACCTCTTTAAGTCAGCTTCTAATTCTGCTCGCAAGTGGGGTTTAGACATTTGAAAGCCCATTGAGTCATAGCCTTCCACTAACCCCATACCAAGCTGTCCTGGTATGAACCGTGTATCTTGCAACCCTACGTACATGCGTGACTTAATGGTCTCTATGTGGTCTGCATGTGTTGCATCCGTTCCTGTGAAAAACAATAAAGTCCAGCATTGAATGTAATGAGATGCCTCTTTCTGGTGGCACCTTGGTAGCTCCCTGAAGCTAGCCGCCTGAATAGCTTCACAGAGCCACCGAGTGGCCACAATTCTTTTCAAGCAGCATGGTACAGAATCATAGATTTTCAAAAAACAGACACCCAAAATGCTATCAGACCCCTAGACCTGCCCAGTCGACCATAAACTAGGATCAGAATAAGGTTTACTCATAGAAGTGAGGGTAGTATAGGTATTAGATATCGACCTAAAACTGAACAAACACAATAGCTCGCTGCAGGGTAAGTAAGCCCAGTGGTGATTCACATGCTCAACACCAGGTGGTAGGTAGTCCAGGTCACCCGTGGGTCCAGCCACAAAACACCCTCACACACAACTCAAAACAATGGATATAAATTGGATTAGTTTATCCAGAAAAAAGACCTGAGTAAGTACTGCTTTGGAAACAGGGTTGTTGATTTATGAAACAAATTACTGGGTAGTATAATAGAAATGGAATCCCTAGATAGTTTCAAAGGTAAGCTATACATAACTATGAATGTGTTTGGGTGGACATAAATAGCAGCTACCTTGCATGGGTCAATAAGCTTTCTGCAATTTTTTTTACTGTACTCTTATGTGCCACCCAGAGATGCAGCCTAGTCCAACAGGTAAGAAAGGGGACCAGAGGGTGGAGTAGGGGAGATATTGAAGAGTGTCTAGAAGAGGGCATTTTTAACACTTTTTTTAATGGCCCTCATTAGCTACTCGGTGCATAGTTGCAACAGTGCCCAGAAAGGATATCAGCAATGAGATAAATCCCTCATTCTCAGCCTACCATGGTCGAACTGTAGCACCTAGAATTTTTTGTTTATATTGTCCAAACTTGCCAACATGTTGTCCACAAATTCATAATACAAAAATCATTGTCTGAATTTTGTCAACATTGTCATTTTTGGAAAGGATCGTTGAAACTATGCCAGTGCCCAATGGTTAAGGGACAGGCCTGAAGGTGGCATAAGAAGCACAGAACAAGCCAGATAACGTTAAATAGAATCTACTGTCATGAACTTTCCTTTAGGAGGAGAGTTCTCAAGAAGAACAACAAAGCATCAGAGATAGAATAATCCTACCGTTATGACACAAGGATATTTTTTTGGATACAATACAGTAAGTGATTGCTAGCAATTGTCAACCAACCAATGCCATGCTTCTCCATAAGAGCAATGAGATCTGCTTCTGTCAGAAGAGGCGGCGGTGAAGTTTCCCCATCAACCATCTCCAAGGATGTCGGGGTAAACACCTGGCCCTGCTCATACTGCGGCATCACCTTGTCACTCCAACGATCATATGGATATACATCTAGGTAGTTACGCTCCAGAATGATGAGACCATTTGCAGTAAACTGAGGAGATAAAATAGTGGAAGTATTGTACATGATTATCACTTGCCACCATACAACAGCAACACATTACCAAGTGACTTGTAAAACTGTTTTTAGAGGGTAATTACGAGTGTAATTACCTAAGTGTAGGTACAGGTTGAGAGTTATGTGTGGTTGCTCTCTTTCCCATAATCATTGTCATATGATACTCCAAAATTACTAATGGTTTTGCCATCCACCAACTTCCCACTTAAATTATTCTAACCATCTAGAAACTGTTCGCAAAAGAGAACTTGTCATATATTTTGTCAGCACTTTTGTTTCCTTGTGGCTATGAAGAGGTTCAAAATTACTTAACAAGGTGCAGCGTAAGTCATATAAGATACAATGGGCTATGATGAAACAAAAATCAAGTGTGGAATATATACAGTACTTGAGATTGTGTAAATATCCACATAGGAAAAAATTAAATAAAACTTCCAAACGCTTCACCGCATTATCAAGATTATCCTTGATCATGTGGCGGGACATGAAAACTTTTGAAATTTTCATTTCATTTTCCCTGTGCGGATAATTACACATACCCGAATCACGTGTCTTTTGTGATTATTCTTGCATACTTGAGACTATACCGAAATGAGAAACACAAAAACCAAACTACTTTAATAAGAAATGAATACAAAAATAAAGTGGTGGCACAGTCTACCAATTTCTGAAAGAAAGACAAAGTATGTTCACACTAAAGCAGAGAATACGACGTTACAATATTGTGAGTGAAACAACACGTGAAAGGAAATGAAAATGATAATATTTCACTCCATCATAGGTCAAGTAATTTTCCACAGTACAACTCTCCAGAATGATCAAGACACCTTGTATAATGTTGCTCTAAAATACTCACGGCTTCTCCTGCAATTTCAATATCAACAATAGTTTCAAGGCCTTGCGCATCTTTACTGAGGCATGCAAGGAAGTGTCTCACAATAAACTCGTACACCCTCTGTTCGTTGCCTTGCAGACCACTGGCATATTTGGTTGGATGAATGGGAGGATGTGCTTGGTCAGACTTCCTTCCCTGTCGTGGGTTAGGACCATCCTCCAGGACACGAGCAGCAAACCCTGCCCACATAATTCACTTATTATCTCAGGTTAAATCACATTAAAATTGTTACAACAATGCAAATACAGGCTGTAGTTTGCTTTATTATTTACTACCAATACAAAAATTAAGGCTTTGAATGTAGATGACATGCACCTTTCAGAACATGCCACTTGATTTCACCTTAGGCACAGGAGCAACAGATGTACTTGCATAGAAGGGAGCATCTCTTCCACAATCTACTTATTTCTAATATAAAACCATTTGGTAACTCCTCTAGGCAACATCAAGCTCTTCCAATGACATAGCAAGGTGTACGATGAAATCACAAGAACGAGATGAATCTATAAATAAATATATGGCATGGGTTCAAGTACATCGTACGGTTTGAATATATACAGTATAGTCATCAAGGTACAGTACTGTACTGTACTGGTACTGCAGTCCCCTTTCTCATCCTTGATGAAGCATGGGCTTTTCAAATGGTTTTCCCACTTAGCTGCTACTGTCAAATTCCCAATTCAACTATTATTAATAACTTCCAGAAGGCTCACTTATTCAAACTGTACTGAGAATACCATCTCCGAATTATACTTAGCACCAAAGAAACCACCAAGTATTACTCTACTAAATAAACATAAACAATAAAGTAGCTATACAAGGGATATCAAATAAGCAAGTCTGGTATAGCATTCACCCACCTCCCCAGTTCTGATCTTCTGTCTGCATTTCAACCAGTGGCCGTAGCGGTAGTTCTTTCGGAAAAATGTTGGTTTCTGTCCGAGGGTAACTGATGTAACCTTGTGTGTACAGTTTTTCTGCAACTTTCATAGTTTCCTTTGCAGTGAGGCGTAGTTTACGTGAAGCCAATTTCTCAAGCTCCTGCAATTTTAATAAACAGCTTTAAGTGGGAAACTTCTTTTATAATTTCAAATACAATCTTTCATTTTCACTACTGCATCTATCATTCAAATTCACAGATTTGCAAGTGCAAAGATTTTCTATTATAACTCCTTCCTGTGTCAGGATCATAGAGTAGGATGAGGTAAGTGAGGTGTTGGCGAGGCACATGAAATTATATATTATTGTACAGTTGATATATATATATATATTTATAAAGTATAGCAATAGGAAAAAAAAGAGACACTGAATTTGCCTTCATTCAGTGTTGAGGTGTTTGATGGGAGCAGACACTAAACATTATCACTATTGTTTTCATATCCTTGATCATGTTTTTAGAATCCTTGGAAATTCATGAGGTGTTGCTCCTGGTTCTTGTGTGAGACATGAGTCATTGGTGTTATCAAAATAGGGGGCCACACTTAAGGGTTGTAAATTTGCTCTTCTAAGTTACATGAAGTTTCACCTTTTTAATATGCAGTCTAGTGAGGACTATGACAAGTTAAAACACACAGACTGGCTGTAGCAAATGGTGTTTGTGCTTGTTCTACTTCTGGTGAGGATTGTTGATTGTTTCACTTGTGATGAGGGGTGTTGATTGTTTCACTTGTGATGAGGGGTGTTGATGGTTTCACTTGTGATGAGGGGTGTTGATTGTTTTACTTCTGTTGAGGGGTGTTGATTGTTTCACTTGTGATGAAGGTTGTTGATTGTTTCACTTGTGATGAAGGTTGTTGATTGTTTCACTTGTGATGAGGGGTGTTGATTGTTTCACTTGTGATGAAGGTTGTTGATTGTTTCACTTGTGATGAAGGTTGTTGATTGTTTCACTTGTGATGAGGGGTGTTGATGGTTTCACTTGTGATGAGGGGTGTTGATTGTTTCACTTGTGATGAGGGGTGTTGATTGTTTCACTTGTGATGAGGGGTGTTGATTGTTTCACTTGTGATGAGGGGTGTTGATGGTTTTACTTCTGTTGAGGGGTGTTGATTGTTTCACTTGTGATGAGGGGTGTTGATTGTTTCACTTGTGATGAGGGGTGTTGATGGTTTCACTTGTGATGAGGGGTGTTGATGGTTTCACTTGTGATGAGGGGTGTTGATGGTTTCACTTGTGATGAGGGGGTGTTGATGGTTTCACTTGTGATGAAGGTTGTTGATTGTTTCACTTGTGATGAGGGGTGTTGATGGTTTCACTTGTGATGAGGGGTGTTGATTGTTTCACTTGTGATGAGGGGGTGTTGATGGTTTCACTTGTGATGAGGGGTGTTGATTGTTTCACTTCTGTTGAGGGTTGTTGATTTTCACTTGTGATGAGGGGTGTTGATTGTTTCACTTGTGATGAGGGGTGTTGATGGTTTCACTTGTGATGAGGGGTGTTGAAGGTTTCACTTGTGATGAGGGGTGTTGATGGTTTCACTTGTGATGAGGGGTGTTGATTGTTTCACTTGTGATGAGGGGTGTTGCTGATCTTATATACTCATTTTCTGCCATCCCAAATGAAGGATACAGAGAATTTATGGTTTAGGAAGGAATTCATGATGCATTGCTCCCCCACAATTCCAAGAAAATAAAAGCTCAGAAAAAGAGTCAATCACCAAACTCTTCAGCACGGCTGGGACACGAACAAGGGGACACAGGTGGAAACTTAGTACCCAGATGAGCCACAGAGACGTTAGAAAGAATTTTTTCAGTGTCAGAGTAGTTAATAAATGGAATGCACTAGGAAGTGATGTGGTGGAGGCTGACTCCATACACAGTTTCAAATGTAGATATGATAGAGCCCAGTAGGCTCAGGAATCTGTACACCAGTTGATTGACAGCTGAGAGGCGGGACCAAAGAGCCAAAGCTCAACCCCCGCAAGCACAATTAGGTGAGTACAATTAAGTGAGTACAACTTGTTTCACCCTTTTATAATGATTAGAGTAAAGTTGAACGAGGTAATTTTTGTTGTGTGTTAGCTAGGAGAGAAAGAGACTCTTTATACTTCAGAAGTAAACTGTAGTGAAGATTAAACTTCAACAATTTTGTCCCTAAAATGATTTGGGCGTCAAAACGGCATGGTGATGACCTATCAATTTATCTATCAATCTTACAATTAACCCAATTCAGTGTAACTGAATGAGTCTGCTTCAAGAGATCCCATGATTAAGTTTGCAAGCACAACACAAATGGAGACTTCTCTGCCTAAACATAATCCTCACGTCTCTCACCTTCACCTCAACCCCATTTAGCCCCAATAAATGCACAGTTTAGTTTTACTCTATATTAATGCTAGTGTTTTGTGCTCTTCACACTCAACTACCCCTGTGAACAGATTAAAAAACCAGCATTGAATGTAATGAAATGCTATTTTCTGGGCGAGCCCCAGAGCTGTTGGGTTAATATGCAATACATTAGACCAGGGCATTAGTCAATAGAGTTGAGCCTACTGGAGACCACGAGCCAGAACCTGGCCCCATCAGAGAGAGACAGGGAGCAATGCCCCCTGGAAACCTCCCCCACCCTGTGGTTGGGAGTTTGTTGCCACAGCCGCAGCAATGCCTCCAGAGGAAGAGACATGGAAACGGTCTAAGAGTCTCAAATAAGACCCAGCCAGGTCTGAATCTGGGACGGAACCAGATGGGACTTCTGCCAGTTCACCAGGAACCTGAACCTGGCGTGCTAGGAAAAACCACACCTCTGGCGAGCAGACAAGCAGACCAGCTGGGAGCCCACACCAGCCAGTCGTCGAGGTAGGCCAGAACATGAACCCCTAGCAGACTCAGACCGGTCACCACGACCCAGGTAAGACGTGTGAATACACGAGGTACCAGATTCAAGCCAAAAGAAAGGCAACAAAATTGATAAGACTGATGCCCTACCACGAAACCTAACCAGTCCCTGAACCCCAGATGAATGGAAACGTGCCAATATGCATCCCCGAGGTTTAGGGACACCATCCAGGTACCCGGCTTCAACAGAAGCCGGACCTGAGACAGAGTGGTCATCTGAAAGGAGGGGCAAAGACTCCAGGGGATACGATGGGACAAATCCAGACTGAACCGCAAATCGACACAGTCCCATTTTGGCACTGGAAACAGCCAGGAAACCCAACTAAGGGACAGGGGTCGTTTTGACCACAGGACCAGACATGTGCAAACAGCATGAGCCTCCCCCCCATCGCTTCGTCAATGGGGCAAACCACAAAAGGGCTGATGCCCCATACGAGAAGCCCGCAGACGAGCAGAGCGGTCATCGTGCCGACCAGGCGACGCTGGCTCCGAAGGAAATGCCGGCTCAGAAGCTGACACCAATAGCCCACCTTGACCTACGGAACCCCAAGCTCTGGCACGACCTTTCCAAGAAGGCCGAGAACGACCATCTTGGAGAACCAACATGTCCAACATAGGACGACAACTAGACGAAGCCGCATGCAGAAACTGCGTGACAGCAGTCTCTGCAAATAGCAACAGACAATACGATGACGAAAACTAAGAGCCAGGGCCCACACAAATTCCAAAGAGAGAGTGAGCACAGCCTGCTGCTGGCACGCGAGGCGAGAAGCAAAGAACAGAGACACCACCTCCTTGAGAATCGGTGTAAACAGCTTCAACAGTGCGGCCGACGCCCAAGCAGCCGAAGCCAGCGCCCCAGAAAAAGACCTGGCACTCAATGCCCCCACATCCTCCTCAAGCCAGTCCAAGCACAGCTCGAGATGGGAAAAGAAGCATAAGACTGAAGCCAAATGTCTACGGGCACGCAGAGCCGGTCGGCCGAGCGGACAGCATGCTAGACTTGTGATCCTGTGGTCCCGGGTTCGATCCCAGGCGTCGGCGAGAAACAATGGGCAGAGTTTCTTTCACCCTATGCCCCTGTTACCTAGCAGTAAAATAGGTACCTGGGTGTTAGTCAGCTGTCACGGGCTGCTTCCTGGGGGTGGAGGCCTGGTCAAGGACCGGGCCGCGGGGACACTAAAGCCCCGAAATCATCTCAAGATAACGCAAGTCCTCAGCAACCAAAGACACCTGAAAGGAAGGGAACCTGCACGTGCGGATGCACAAGGGTCCACAAGATCCCCCAAATCAGGACCCCAGGGCAGAGCAGTCCTCCATACCCTCCACCCCTGAAGAAAAGGCAGAAAAGAAAGGGGCCTGTTGGAGGGGCCTGACAGCTGAGTGAACAGTGCTCGGAATTCGTAGTCCTGAGGTTCTGAGTACGATCCTAGATGGAGGTAGAAACAAATGTGGTTTCTTGCACCCTGATGCCCCCTGTTCATCTGGCAGTAAATAGATACCTGGGAGTTAGACAGCTGCTATGGGCTGCTTCCAGGGGATGTGTAACAAAAAAAGAGGCCTGGTCGAGGATCGGGCTGCGAGGCCGCTAAGCCCCGACATCATCTCAAGATGACCTCATGATAACCTAGAAGCCTCAGCAGGAGGAACCGGTTCGAATGCCTCCGTCCCCAATCTGAACGGGGCACCCCCCCAAACTGCCCGAGTCTCGCCGCCAACTAAACCCCGCTCCGACTCCGAAACCCTAAGATGTTTGGGAAACAGAAGCAAGGCAGGACAAACAACAGGGGAAGGACCATGGAGCGCAGACTTAACTGAAGTTGAAGCGACTAATGCCTCCAGGTCCGGGTCCCTATAACCAAAGCAGGGCAGCCGCAGGGCATCCGGATGGGCAACCAACTTAGTATGTTGCAGCAACCTAAACCAAGGATGCAACGCAGATGCCACCAGTATCCGAATATCAATGTTATCAGAATGGGTAAACTGGAGAACATGTAGAGAACACGACTCGCAAGACTCAGTGTCAAAGGTGTCGTTGACCCAACAGGTAGCATGACGGAGGCAAAAGTAGTGACTGTCACCCGGAGACAAGGGCACACGGCAACCTTCAAACTCGCACGAGGGGAGCTGGAACTTGGAAAACGCATCCATAGGTCCACTGAGCCCCGACAGGGTTTTCCAGGGCCCGTAGGCCAACTACTACTTGAAGCCCGGAAGAGGTGTTGCTAACCGGTTAAGACCCAAAACTAACAAGGGGGAGATCAAAACACTGAAACCCATGCAACATGTACAATCAAGGGGGCCTAGTGAATGGCCACCAAAATATTAGAAGTGTTATTACAGCAACACCAGGCAGACCCCCACCAGGCAAACAAAACTAAAATAAAAGAAAAACCCTGCAAAAGTACGTCCCCAGAGGAAACAGTATCTAGCCGCTGCTTAGGTAAGCTGGCTGCGCAACACCTTGATGCCCCAACCAGCAACAATACCACTCCCTACCCAAGGCCAAACAAGGACCATGAAACCCCAGCTGGTCCCAAGGGCGAGTTCAGAAATGGTCCCCGAACGCACCAGGGAAGAGAACCCTGACACCCCAAGGGTAGTACTCACTGGGCACTTAGGGAAGATTGCCCTAGGCACATGCAGCCCCAGTACACTTAAGTACACCTGGCCATCACACCACGAACAGCAGAGGACACCACTAAGACAAAACACTGTCAGGAAACCGAGGCCAGAGTTGATGACCGACCCCGGATCGCATTAGCCAAAGAACTGGAGTTGCTGGGTAGCCAGCACGAGGGGTTTTGGCCTCCATTCTCCACCTCCTGGGGAGGGGAGGGGGGGGGGGAGGCTGTGCAGATGAGCTGCACGGCAGCGAGGTGTGACGTTTGCTTGTTTCTTTGGGAATTGAGGGAGTTCTGCCTCTCTGTTCGGTTTTCATTTACAATTTTCTTACTATGTGGGGTCAGTTTTGTTATGCCTATCTTTCTGGGTGCCTAACCCTGGTCGATGGCAGATAAGGAAAACCCCCAACCACAGGGGAATTTTCCAGGGGCCATTGCTCCCTGTGCCTCTCTGTGGGGGCCAGGTTCTGGCTCGTGGTCCCCAGTAGGCTGAACCCCATTGACTAAAGTTCTGGTCTAGTGTATTGCATATTAGCCCAATAGCTCCAGGAAGCAGGAGGGGCTCCCCACAGAAAAATTAAGCATTTAATGCAATGATATGCATCTTTCTGGATTAGATATGTTGGTTCCATATCTCATCCAGAAATGAGATATGAATTACTGTGGGAGAGACCAGATGCAGGGGTGAACTATATCCATAAGGGAAGGAAGAGGAGGCATGGACTTAGTCTGGGTAGTTGCCAACATTTCCAACTCTGGCTTATTAAATACCATGGGGCATTAAATAGTCTGGGGGCATTTAGATGATTAATATGCCATAAACACCTAAATCAAGCAAAAATAACTTTTGCAAAGTGGCATATGTATTAAAAGTTTCCAGATTTGAAAGTGAATCAGTAAGAGCAGAGATACAGTGAGCACACACCTCACAGGACTCAGGGTTGTAGGTGTCACTGAGCCAGCAGGCAGGATAGCAGAGGCAGAAAGAATGATCATTATCATATAACAAAGATGATGAACATTCTTCAAGCTCGCAATTGGCGAGTGTGGGCTCGATGGGCTGATCCATAATGGGCCACCCCACAGACCCACAAGGGGATTACTAAGGCTTGAAGGCCGCTAACCAAGCAGAAACCCAAGGCACCAGAGCCACTCACCAGAAGAATAGTTACCAAATTCAGTTAAAACAACCAGGCTACAAATGGAGACTGCAGGATGCCATACAGACAGGCACCAGAACCCCAGCGCACCTCAGCACAACCATAAGAATCCCCGCAGCAGAGGAATCAAAGATTTGTGAATAGCTCAAGGTGAGGCTCTTCACCCTGGTAGCGTGGCCTTCCAGGGGAGAACTACTCAATACACCAGAGAAGATAACTGACTGTGCAAGGGCAGTACTAATGGGCACCCAAGAAAGAAAACCTCAAGCAGCTCAAAAAGCAACAAGAGCCAAGCCAACACAAACCAAACAGAAAAGACACACATGAAGCTAACACCAAAATATGGAACACAACAACAAGAAATAAATGGCCTCCACAGGATGAACAAAATCCAAGGATAGCCAGCAGTTAGCTTGAAGTAGTGGGGCTTGCTCACGACCGCTGGACCGGAGCATTACTGTTACAACCGTCCACCATAACATTAACAACAGAACTGGTTGGTCAGAGGATAGCTGCGGGCTGGGGCCAGGCTGCCTAGTGGAGGTAATCAGTACTAACGTGTTTTGTACTAATTTGAATGAATCCCTTGTTCTGTGTGAATTGTTTGTGGAGTTAGTTGGCTGTTTCGAGGCTCTTTTTCTGTGAACCCTCCAACTGTCTGGAAAGCTTTGCTGCCTTTCTGGATGCTTTCCCAGTGGGGTGGAAAATTATCACTTGCTCCCTGCGCCTCTCTGATGGGGACAGGTTTTAGCTCAGGTCCTCAGTAGGCCAAACACCACTTCCACAATTTATTTAGAAAGTATGAAGCAATCCCAGCACTTCAGGAATTCACTGTGGGGGGCTCCCTCAGAAAGACAAGATGCATTTGGAAAATAATAATAATAATAAGGCAGAGGAAAATAAGGCATTTGCCTTATTTTCCTCAATTTTAATTTTTTTCTTTCAAGCAGTAACTTGTTTTGTTTTGCCTCACCTTTCTGGTTGATTTGTGATCCTCAAGCTCCCCCCTCACCTAATACAGTCAAATTCCAGTCCTGGCTCCCAGTAGATCAGAGTTGGTCTCAGAGAGTCCTTGGTTAAGTCTTAGGCTTAATGACATCTACATGTAGGCACTGGCACTGACAAGCTACTGAGGGCCTTAACTAACAAAAAATGTAAAAACTTTATCCCCTGTTGCTACAACTGAAATCATGACTCACCACTGTGTCAAGGGGTAGGGGCCGCCACTTGCTCTTGTTCTTGGTAACTATTTTTGTGACCAATGCTTGTGGCTCATCTTGACACGCCTCAAACAATACCTCGCACATTGTACGATCAAACAGTCGTACACGTCTCCAGCTAAACTCAATGACTCCATCTTCTCCAGCATGTGTCACTGTAAATACCAAAACATAACTTATGGCCTCAAATATAGCAAAGTCTCCCAAGATGTGTCCTTTCTGTGTCTCCAGAGATGTGTCACTTGCACAAGTCTCCAGAGATGTGTCACTTGCACAAGTCTCCAGAGATGTGTCACTTGCACAAGTCTCCAGAGATGTGTCACTTGCACAAGTCTCCAGAGATGTGTCACTTGCACAAGTCTCCAGAGATGTGTCACTTGCACAAGTCTCCAGAGATGTGTCACTTGCACAAGTCTCCAGAGATGTGTCACTTGCACAAGTCTCCAGAGATGTGTCACTTGCACAAGTCTCCAGAGATGTGTCACTTGCATAAGTCTCCAGAGATGTGTCACTTGCACAAGTCTCCAGAGATGTGTCACTTGCACAAGTCTCCAGAGATGTGTCACTTGCACAAGTCTACAGAGATGTGTCACTTGCACAAGTCTACAGAGATGTGTCACTTGCACAAGTCTCCAGAGATGTGTCACTTGCACAAGTCTACAGAGATGTGTCACTTGCACAAGTCTACAGAGATGTGTCACTTGCACAAGTCTCCAGAGATGTGTCACTTGCACAAGTCTCCAGAGATGTGTCACTTGCACAAGTCTCCAGAGATGTGTCACTTGCACAAGTCTTCTCAGGTGTGCCTCAGAAAACTTGTGCAAGAAGACTTACTGATCTACGCCCACGTCATATAAATTGTAAATCCACACTTCCTTGGAAGTTCCGTGGAAGTGTGGATAACAATTTATATGATGTGGATCATATAAATGATCTGAGCTTCAGTAATAGTCAAGGAAAGTTGATAATCCTGCTGCTTCTGGAAACTTTCCTTATTATGACTACTCAATAGCTTGGTTGATAAAGCTTCAGCCTCACACATGTGGGGTCCTCAGTTCTAGTCTCCTAGAGCCCCTATGAATGGAATGTTTATTTCCACGGAAGTGTGGATGACAATTTAAGATGAATTTAGTTTTACTCATTTTGCTTAAGTTCTTTAAATACCTCTGAACCTCTGAAAAAAAAGAACCTCTGCTCAAAATTATGGGGAATAAAGAAATATCAACCTTATGAGTTTTGGGTAAACCACAGAAATACAGTAAGCTTAGGTTATTAACATTAAACTTTCCCAGGAGCTAAATCACTTCTTTGTTAAAAAAAACTAAATACTCCATACACATCTCCATGTGTAGATATGCTAGAGCCCAGTTCCCTGGTGTACGAGTAACCTGTACACCAGGCTAGACAGTGAGGTGTGTTCCTAAACGAGGGAGAGTAAGGGCAGTTTGCATGAGCCACGTCCCCAGTGGATAGAGCCGAGGAGAAGAGGTCCAGAAATAAGACAAAAACGTCTTGCTTATATTAACACTGTCGCACTCTCATAACACTTAAAGCGTCACCAATTTTTCTCTTGAGTCCGAGCGTTAGACTCATGCACGACTCCAACAATAAAATATTTGTATAAAATTCATTTTTTATCCGATCGACTTTGGGATAGTTTCAAAATGAGCGCCTTTAAATTGCACATAATTTGATACCAAAATGAAAGATGTAACACGAAACTTGATATCAGAACACTTGAAAAATTATAAATACGTTTTTGGTTAAAATGTTAAAATATTTGTTAAAATTCTATTTATTGTGCTATTATTATGGGACTAGTTTTAAAATGTGCGCTTTTACATTGTAAATAATTTGATACCAAAATAGAAGATGTAACACAAAAATTTATCTCAGAACACTGGAAAGATATAAATAATTTTGTGATGATGAGCATACAAAATTAAAATATATGTTAAAATTCTATTTATTGTGCTATTATTATGGGACTAGTTTTAAAAAATGCGCCTTTACATTGCCAACAATTTGATACCAAAATGAAAGATGTAACATAAAAATTGATGTTATCAAACTGAACGAGTATACACATTAGGCTGCGGTGTGCAAATTGGTGCTCGTTCACAAGTACGTTTAGGCTTTGCTGCGGGGAGTCACGCCAGGCTTTTGGACATTATATGCATATACACATGTAGGGAATTCTATTGCAAACACAATGATACTAAAACGAACGACGAAACACGAGAACTAAGGTGAGAAAACTGAAACGAGTATACACATTTTGGTGTCGCCTCGAGCTCGCCCGTACCACCGGGGGCATGACCTCTTAAATTTGTGGCGCATATGCCAGGAGAGCGAAATTGTTAAGGGAATAACAAACGTGGGATTACTGGACTGTTTTATGCAAAAGCTTGACATATACATGAGTGATTACAAAAGTGTTTTTATGTAAATAAGAGCTACCTTTGCCTGGGTCAATAGGCCTTTTGCAGTTTCCTTTATTACAGTACTATTATGTTTTCCAAAATACAAGGATTAATTTGCAGGACTCGGAGGTATCACCGGAGGATGACGAAACTCACAAATAAAACATGGAAGCAATAGATGACCAGTACTTTGAAACAACCTTTAGTAGATGATATAGAAAATATATTCTTTCACTTCTTAAAAGTATGGTGACTTTTTCACATCTACAGTGATGTTTCAAGACTTGAAAGGTTTATAACCAATCATATTCAAAGATACTTTAAAGAACTAAAAATTTGTCTCTACTGTTCCTTCTCCACGTAACCCCAAGCTCTCAGTATCTCATGCCACAAACCTAAACTTTCATCTCCTCTCTCAAGTAATATCGTCACACACACACCTAGACATCATATCAAGATGGCTCATGGAGGAACACCTGGCCACTTGCTCAGTACCCTTATTTACAATTAAGTAACAAGCATGTAACATAGCCTTGATAAAATATTGAAACAGTAGGATAGGACTGAATCCATTATGTGGTGGTTGAATCCTATCATACGGCTTCAATATTTTCTTAGTACCCTTACACTCTACCAGTAAAATATGGCTGCATTTCATATACAATCTAATGTTATTTAATTGTGTAATGTGTAACTATACAATGTTGTGATGTATGTAGTTTACAGAACAGTATTTAGTAAAGTTGCACTCTGATGTACAGTATTTTCAAACAAAGAATATTAGGTGAGGGCTGGTGAGTAAGCCCAAATATCCAAATAAATCATTTTTTTTTTGTTCAACTGCAATCAGTTTCAAATTGCACACCTTAAAGAAATAATAACACACTTATATGTATCTTTACAACACAACTCACAACAAAGTTATCTTAAAAAATATATTAAGCAAATTTTTTTAAAACTTTATACCTTTTATTTTCCAAAATTGCTCAGGAATAAACTGCTGAATGGCCTTGTAACGCTCCACTACAAAACCTAAAGTGGGGAACTGACAAGAACCGTAGCTAATGAGCGTCTCGGCCAATGCCTGCGGAAACACCTTCTGGAGCCGTAGTGTCTGAAATCTTGTGAAAGCTGCACCTGTAAAGAGTAAGACAAATAGGAATACAGTACTCCTGTTAAAGTTCATATTCTTAATAAATATAAATCAGGATATCTGTCTGTTTATTTATCTGTGCAAGATTCGAGGCCAGACACATGGGTTAGCCTCACCAAACTTTGCAGTGTGACTGTTGTTTTGGAGGAGGAATATCACAGCTATCAAGAAATGTTTTTTTCAATAGATTCAGCTATCTAACTGCCAATTTTTAAGTTACCATAATAAAATACTTTTTTGTATATTTTGGCCTTCATATTTACTGTTGGGATTTAACATCCTTATGGAAATAGCCTCATTCAGTAACATACCCAGAATTTTCCCACATTATTATGAGCTTAACATTCTCAAAAGAGCACCCGAGACATTGTCAAGGAGAAGAGGAGTATGCAAAGAGCCAGGAACACCTGTGTCTTCCCTCTCTGTATGACACACACCTGTGTCTTCCCTCTCTGTACTACACACCTGTCTTCCCTCTCTGTACTACACACCTGTGTCTTCCCTCTCTGTACTACACACCTGTGTCTTCCCTGTCTGTACTACACACCTGTGTCTTCCCTCTCTGTACTACACACCTGTGTCTTCCCTCTCTGTACTACACACCTGTGTCTTCCCTCTCTGTACTACACACCTGTGTCTCCCCTCTCTGTACTACACACCTGTGTCTTCCCTCTCTGTACTACACACCTGTGTCTTCCCTGTCTGTACTACACACCTGTGTCTTCCCTCTCTGTACTACACACCTGTCTTCCCTCTCTGTACTACACACCTGTGTCTCCCCTCTCTGTACTACACACCTGTGTCTTCCCTCTCTGTACTACACACCTGTGTCTCCCATCTCTGTACTACACACCTGTGTCTCCCCTCTCTGTACTACACACCTGTGTCTCCCCTCTCTGTACTACACACCTGTATCTTCCCTCTCTGTACTACACACCTGTGTCTCCCCCCTCTGTACTACACACCTGTGTCTTCCCTCTCTGTACTACACACCTGTGTCTTCCCTCTCTGTACTACACACCTGTGTCTCCCCTCTCTGTATATATACACCTGTGTCTCCCCTCTCTGTATATACACACCTGTGTCTCCCCTCTCTGTATATACACACCTGTGTCTCCCCTCTCTGTATATACACACCTGTGTCTTCCCTCTCTGTACATACACACATGTGTCTTCCCTCTCTGTACATACACACATGTGTCTTCCCTCTCTGTACATACACACATGTGTCTTCCCTCTCTGTACTACACACCTGTGTCTCCCCTCTCTGTATATACACACCTGTGTCTTCCCTCTCTGTACATACACATCATGTTCCCTCTCAGTAATACACACCATGTTCCCTCTCAGTAATACACACCATGTTCCCTCTCAGTAATACACACCATGTTCCCTCTCAGTAATACACACCTGTGTGCCCCTCTCAGAAGTGCACAGCTGTATTTACTCTCAATAATTCATGCCAACATTTGTGTCAATAACTCACACCTGTTATCAATATAACACACACCTCAAGGCATTACACACCTAATACAGTATGGAGATTGCAAGAGAGGAGTGTTAGACGTTGACCAGGTTAAAGGAGACACACTGGCAAGTCTTCAGGCAATGGTTGTATCTCCGTGATCGTATCTGTCATATTACTACTATAGTTACGGTATATTGATGGGGAAGAAACTAGGAAAATCACACTGGAGTTACTGTACACAATACCAGTGCTGTACTTGAGGAATTTGTGGGTCCTAGTGATGTAGAATGCCAAGGGTGTGAATATTTCTTTAACTTCATGGTATGATCACTTCTACTTCTAATTGCTTTCTCATCATGGTAATTGTGCAATATAAATAATTCTGATATCTCGTTTTACTGCAAATTGTAATCTAAATGTCCCTCCCTTTATGCCAAAAATGTTAAGTTTGATTTAGCCTGCTGTACACCTGCTTAGTACATCTATTATTGTATTGATCTGTACAAGTTGTTACAAATAATGATTTTGATTCAGGTAATAATAATATCTAGGTGCTGTACTGTTATTGTGACTCTTGCGATTACAATACTGTAATTTTTTTATGCATTTTTCAGACAATAAATATACAATCATTTATGAAAAAGATTTTCGTTTGATTCAATTTGATTTCATTTGAGTAATGAGGCAGAGATTCCCAAGTGAAATTGCTAACCATTGATGGAATCGGGGTGAGAGCCATTAGGTCATAAGTGCCAACCAAAGAAGGTCTATGCCAAAGTGGCATAGGCCTGCATATTATCATCATCTAATAGTTCTGCATTTTAGGTACCTTGGGTCACAATATACCATGAGAAGGCCCTGGTGGAATTCTGACCTTTTCTCAAGACACAAACAAATAATCAGTAAAGTGTGGGTCCTCATGTAAACAAGGAGTGATGGATCAAAATAATGGGCAAGATTTGTACACAGCACCATAAAATTAGTACATAAATTACTACTACAAAGCAAGAAGTTAAAATTGGATGATCAGTGAGTGTAGGCTTCATTTTGGTTTCTTGGATATATTACACAGAGTGTGCATTTGGAAAATGGTCTCTTTACGAGTCCTCTTTCCAAATACACAAATTATATGCCAAATACACACATTATATTCCAAATACACACAAAAGTATGCCAAAACTTATCAGAATTAGGAGAAATTCAGCTACAATATAGCTGGAAGAAAGGTTGCCATGGTAATTCTTAATATTTTTATGCTGATCCTTGAGCAGTGTGTTGTTTGTGAGGCTCTGCTCTAATTTGTGATGAGAAAAAACTAGCGTTGAATATAATGAAACACCATTTTCTAAGCGGAACTCATAGGCTCCCTGGAGCTATTGGGGCTGATATGTATGTATTAGACCTTGGCATCAGTCAAAGCAAATGGAGTTCTTAGGCCTACCGGAGACCACGAGCCTGAATCTGGCCCCCTCAGAAAGGCAACAGGAGCAATGGCCTATAGAAACTCCCGCGTGGTTGGAAACATTCTATGTCTTTCATCGACCGGGTCAGGCACCCAGAAAGGTAGGCACCCCAAAACAAACCCTATCTGGTTAAAATATTGCTACTGAAAGCCGAACTGTTGGACAGAGCTTCCCCAAACGAAAACGAGCATGACGTGACAACCGTCACCGCACTGCTGTCTGCACAGCTCCCCCCTCCCTGGGATGATGAAGGGAAAGCCCCAGACCTCCGAGGCAGTTATCTACACCCCTAGTTCTGAAGCTGGTTGTCAAAACACACAAAAACCGCCAACAGGAGGGAGGGAGGGAGGAAAGGTTGCCGGGGAGCCTCTGGTTCTCACCCAGAAAATGGCTTTTCTTTACATTCAATGCTGGTTTTTTGGGGGGGAAGCCCCTTCGGCTTCCCAGAGGTACTTCACCAAAGATAAAAACAAGCGGGACTTACCTAGGAGGCCGTCGCCACTTGCTCCTCAACTCAAAGTCGAGACAACTGGCTGCAACCGCCGACCCAATGCGACACATGCCCGACTAGGGCCAGAAACATTGACTAGATAGCGAGCAGCCAGGACCCTGTTCGACCTTCAAAACCCCCATGCCTGAATGTCAGCCTAAGACATGTTACCAAAGACGGCAGCCAATGCAGCAAACTTACGAATGTCATGGGCACAAGGATAGACCACAGGCTGGCTGGACCGAATAATCCTGCAGACAACCTGGGAGACCCGAACCCTGGAACTGGGAAGAAGGGAAACCGGGTCAACCCAAAATGCATCCCCGGCCACCGAGGTTGAGCAACGCAGGTAACGGCAAAGAACCACAACCGGACACAACACATGATGCACCCCCAGCCGAATCAACCAAGCATCAACAACCCAAGGTCCCCTCTGGAAAACAGCAGTCTCATTCTTCACTAGAAAAGAAGGAAACAGCTGCAAACAACCAAACCTACTATCAGGACCAAAAAGAGCAGAAACCTCTGCGCTGGAGGAGAACATGATACTCCCCAACCCGACCCCCAGAGGCAAACACCAACAGGAAAAAGAGCCTTCGCAAAGCAATTTTGAACCGAAGGGGGGCACAACAAACTGAGGAGAAGAGAGCACCCGGTCCGACAACCAGGACAGCTCAGGCGGCACATGAGCAGGCTGGAGGTGAAACAATGCACGAGACAACTTGCGGAACAGGGCAGAAGTAACAACAACCCCAAATGCAAGCTGAAACGAACTACAAATTGCTGAACTCTGGGATGTGCACACATACGGGGACATAGCGGAGGACCACCAAGAATACAGAATGAAAAAGAGTCAACAACACCATGGGGCAGACCCTCCACCAGGCAGAGATAAAAATAAAAGAAAAACCCCGCACAAGTACAACGTCACCAGGCAGAACAGAGCTGCCCTCTGTATTATGGAGAAAATAAGCCGCACAGTACTGGACAGAGTCTGGAGCCAGAGTCGCACAACCACCAGGTCTCACATCAGCCACAGAACTTGAGGTGTGGATAACCACCGCGGAGGTCTGGGTCTCCCCCTTACCCCTCCCGGGAAGGAGGGAGCTGTGCAGACAGTGGCACGGTGATGATTGTAATGGCATGCTCGTTTGATCATTTTTGTTTGGGGGAGTTCTGTCAAACAGTTCGACTTTCAATAGCAATAATTTAACCAGATAAGGTTTGTTTTGGGGCGCCTAACTTTCTGGGGTGCCTGACCCAGTTGATGGCAGACACAGAATGCATCCAACCACATGGGAAATTCTATAGGACATTGCTCCTCTAGCCTCTCTGAGGGGAGGGCCAGGTTCTGGCTTGTGGTCCCTGGTAGGCCTAAGAACTCCATTCGCTTTGACTGATGCTAGGGTCAAATATATTCATATCAGCCTGGATAGCTGATATGTGTATGGAGTCTGTGGGAAACTGAAGGGGCTCCCCCCAGAAAACCAGGGTTTAATGTAATGAAATGCAATTTTCTGGGTGAGCCCTGGAGGTTCCCTGAAACTGGTATGTGCTATATTAGTTTGGGGTCATCAGTTGCAGATATCTTGTTGCCTGCCAGGATCCAGAGCCAGAACCTGGCCTCCTCAGAACAGTGCAGGTAGCAATGACCTATGAGAACTTTACACATAAAAAACAGCATGTCATAATTGCTATCGACCTGGGAAGGACCCAGAAAGGTAGGCGCATCCAACGACACCACTGTCTGGTTAAACTGTGCAATCTATGCCCTAAAAGATCAAAATAACTCTCCTAGAAAGAAACCTAACAAGCAACACTTCATACAACTAGAACTCCCACTGGTTAGTGCTACCCCTCAAAGGGGAACTCTGGGGAACAGCCTAACAGGCAGTATGACGGAGGCAGTACAGATGATCATCTCCCCGAGGCAGGGGCGATGACCAACCTTTGACTTCGCACAGGGCTAGAGTGTACTCGGAAGAAGTACCTATGGTACCACCAAGCCCACAGGGGTTTTCCAGGGCCAGCAGGGTGAATAAGCCCTACAGGAAGCCCAAGCACTGGGGACCAGCTAAGCCTGTAGAACTCTGTCAGATAGCAGGCAAACTGACCACCAGTAGCAGCTGTGAAACCTTGGGAGCAACAGAGGACGACCACAAACTGTACCCAAATGAGCCACAGACACATTAGAAATTACTTTTTTTGTGTCAGAGTAGTTAGTAAATGGAATGCACTAAGAAGTGATGTGGTGGAGGCTGACTCCATACACAGTTTAAAATGCAGATATGATGAAGCTCGAGTAGCTCAGGAATCTGGACACCAGTAGATTGACCGTTGAGAGGCGGGACCAAAGAGCCAAAGCTCAACCCCCACAAGCACAACTAGGTGAGTAGAAAAACAACCTAGGCCAACCTAATAAGAAGCTAGGCCCTACATCAGTTCAAGAACTGGGGCAGTGGGCTGAAAAAAATGCTCCCCCTCCTCCCCCCCTTTTAGGAAGGGGGTGAGCACTAATTAGTGGGAATGCTAGTTGAATGAAGTGTTGCTTGTTAGGTTTCTTTCTAGAGGAGTTATTTTGATCTTTTAGGACGTAGATTGCACAGTTTAACCCAGACAGTGGTCTGTTTTGATTCGTCAACTTTTCCGAGTCCTTCCCCGATTGCTAGCAATTATGACACACAGTTTTGTATTTTAAATGTAAAGTGCTCATAGGCCATTGCTCCCTGCATCTCTCTGAAGGGTCAGGTTCTGCTCATGGTCCCCAGTAGGCAAAGGGACTCCTGTGACTGATGACCCCACACTAATATAGCATACTGTATATCAGTTTCAGAGAGCCAATGAGGCTCCCCACAGAAAATGGTATTCTTTGAACAAAGATGGTGCACAAGGATTCTTTAGAGAGAATGGACACCAGTATTCTTTGGATAGAACGGGCACCAGAATTCTTTTGGTAAAGAATGTGTAAACTACTAGGAATCGGTAGACATAATTTGCACCTCGTTCATTGCATAGAGAATGTGCATTAGGATTCTTTGAACAGAATGTACACTAAGATTCTTTGAACAGAGAATGTACATTAGGATCCCTTGGACAAAAAATGTATAGTATGATTCTTTGGACAGTGTGTGTGCACTAGGATTCTTTGGATAGAATGCACACTTGCATTCTTTTCTTTAGTCAAAGAATGTGCATTGGGAATTTTTGGATAAAATATGTGCAGTAGGATTAATATTTGATTGTTTGCTTTAGATAAATCAGCAGAGATTCAGGAGAAAGAAAAATTATTTTCTAGTAGTAGCAAAAGACCCTTTCAAAACCCAAATATCATTTTATTTGGTCTAATGCAATGTGAAGATATGTATATGCATTTAAATCCTTGCAATAGACGAATTTAAGTAAATTTGCTAACCTATTCGCAGATCTAGTTCACTACGAACATCAACGGCATTACTTTGCCGCCTGTCTGGAGCTCCAAGAGTTTGTAACGCCCGGTTCACAGACGCGAATGTAATCTCTGAAAATTTGGCTCTGAAATATAAGAAGAAACATTAATATTAATGTGCTAAATAGAAAATAAGTTGAAGACAGACAAGTATATAAACGGGTAAGTTTTCAGAAATCACAGACATTCTCAGATCTAACTACTGTACAGCATAAATTTGTCTTTATTTGATAGAGCAAACTAAAGCCAAAGGATACCTGATCAACCAGGCTGTGACTCGTACGTCAGGCTGCGAGCAGCCGCGTCCAACAGCCTGGTTGATCAGTCCGGCAACCAGGAGGCCTGGTCGACGACCGGGCCGCGGGGACGCTAAGCCCCGGAAGCACCTCAAGGTAACCTCAAGGTAAAGCATAATGAATGCAAACACTTTAGTCAATATTTTATATACATGTAGTTCACAAGCCATGGAAATGAGCCAAAACTGACTTGAAACTACCTGGCAAACCTAGTAAACTGTGACTATCCAGAAACTTGGACAAGGAAAGTGAGCATTGAGAAAGAAATCGAGAATAGCTCCAAAACTAGAGAGACCTTCTTTGGAAGAGGAAACAGCCGGGGCAACACGTAAGTGGGAAGGAACCCGGGGTACCTGGTGGGGGAGGAAACCAAGACCAATGAAGGGCCTGAGACATGAAGCAGAATGCCCCAGGATCCTATAGGCACAATCAGAGAACACTGTCTAAATATCAGAGGTCCACAACTGTTTAACACCCTCCCAGCAAGCATTAGAAATATTGCTAGACCAACCAGGCTGTGGTGGACATGTGGACCTGCGGGCCGCTCCAAGCAACAGCCTGTTGGACCAAGTTATCACAAGTCGAACCTGGCCTCAGGAAGTAGAACTCCCAGAACCCTCTCCACATATGCTCCAGGTATCCCTGGCCAGAGACTGCCAATTACACTGTCCCTTGGAGCATACCACAATAAATAGAGTCAGCTGGACAAATATCTGTGGTCAACAAACCTAGGCAAATGGTAGATGCATTGACCTTCAAGGAGAAAAGTGAGTCAACAACTGAGAGTCATGAGATCAAGAAAAAACCAGTGTTGAACATAATGAAATGCCATTTTTTGGGTGAGCCCCGGAGGCTCCCTAGAGCTATCGGACTGATATACGTCATATTAGTCTGGGGCCTCAGTTAATTGAAGTTGGAGAACCTAACCCAATCAGAGACAAAGGAAGCAATGGCCTATGGAAACCCCATTGTACTTGGGGGCATTCCATGTCTGCCATCGATCAGGGTTAGCACCTAGAAAGGTTGGCATAGCAAAACAGACCCCACATGGTTAGAAAAAAAAAAACAGCGTTGAATGTAATGAAACTCCATTTTCTGGGTGAGACCAAGAGGTTCCCCGCAGCTATCCAGGCTGATATGCTAATGTCAGACTTTGGCATCAGTCATGTGTATGGAGTTCTGTGGGCCTACCAGAGACCACGAGCCAGAACCTGACCCTCAGAGAGGCATGGGGAGCAATGGCCTATAGAAACCCCCATGTGGGTGGAGGCATTCTATGTCTGCCATTGACCGGGGTCAGGCACCCAGAAAGGTAAGCGTCCTAAAACAAACCCCTATTCTGGTGAAAATTGTTACAAAAAGCCAAACAAGTGGATAGAACTCCCCAAAAAGAAATGAGCAAATGAGCATGACGTCACATGTCGCCACACCCCCTGGAGAGGGAAGGGGGAAGGGGGAGCTCCAGACCCCCACACTGGCCATCCACCCTTCAGTTCTGAGGCTGGACATCAAAACACGCAAAAAAAATGCCGACCGGGGAGAGGAAGGGATGCCGGGGAGCCTCTGGGTCTCACCCAGAAAATGACGTTTCATTACATTCAACGTTGGCTTTCTGGGGGAAGCCCCTACAGCTCCCCGGAGCTAACTACCCACAGAGGGAAATAGAGGGACTTACCCAGGAGGCGGTCGCTGCTCACTCCACAATCCAAAGTCGAGACAACTGGATGCAGCCGCCGACCCAAAGCGACACAGGCCCGACTAGGCCCAGGAACATTCACGAGGTAACACGCAGCCAAGACTCTGTTCGACTGCCAAAAACCCCGTGCCCGAATGTCAGCCCAGGATATGTTACCAAAGACAGCCGCAAGGGCAGCGAACTTACAAATGTCATAGGCACTGGGATAGACCGCAGGCTGGCTACCCTTAATAACCTTGCGGACAACTTGGGAGGAGGGAAACCAGAGCAACCCAAAGAGCCTCCCCGGACACAGAAGCCGTGGCGCGCAAATAATGGCGGAGGACAGCAAACAAATACAAAGGATGATGCACTCCTGGCCTGACCAACCAAGCATCAACAACCCAAGGAGCCCTTCGGAAAGTAGCCGTCTCATTCTTCATCAGAAAAGAAGGAGACGGCTGCAGACGAACAAACCGATCGCCACGACCAAAAGAGTAGAAACCCCTGCACTGGAGGAGAGCACGAAGCTCCCCAACCCGACACCCAGAGGCCAATGCCAACAGGAAAAGAGCCGTCGAGAAAAAATCCTGAACTGAAGGGACCACAACACACCGAGGAGAAGAGAGAAAGGAAAACACTTTGTCCAATGACCAGGACGGCTCAGGCAGCGCATGAGCAGGCCGGAGGTGAAACAACACACGAGACAGCTGGAGAAACGGTGCAGAAGTAACATCAATACTGAAAGCAAGCTAAGGCGGCTCTGCCAGCGCCGCATGATACGAGGCGACAGTATTCGGCTTAAGATGACGGTCCTGGAACAACCAAGAGAGAAAGGACAACACCTTTTGGAATGGAGTCAGAGTTGGAATGGAGTCGGATCGTGGAAAAACGAGCAACCGAACCCTCCGAAGCAACAACCAAACCACCGCGAACGAAATGACGGAGCCCACCATCCCTGGCTGGACTGGTGAGCACTGGTCAAAAAGCCCCAGCCGAGAGACGAGGCATCCGTGAACATATCGAAGAAGGGCTCAGGTAGGCACCATCTTCTTGAGGTTATCTTGAGATGATTTCAGGGCTTAGCTTCTCCGCGGCTCGGTCCTCGACCAGGCCTCCTTTTTGTTACACACCCCCAGGAAGCAGCCCGTAGCAGCAGTCTAACTCCCAGGTACCTATTTATTGCTAGGTAACAGGGGCATCAGGATGAAAGAAACATTTTGCCCAATTTGTCTCCGCTTCCACTGGGAATCGAACCCGGAACCTCAGGACTACGAATCTGAAGCACTGTCTACCCAGCTGTCAGGCGCCATGGCAAAGAACCCCAAAAAAAAAAAAAAAATCGAAGAGGAACCCAGCGATCGCGAGAGAGATGGAAGGGAGGTCCCTGAAGAAACCAGAACAGATGCCGAAGTCAGACCTGATCCTGTGGGTAAACCAGCACGGCGAAGTTCAGACTCCCACACAACTGCTCGAGCAACTGCCGAGTGATCCGGGACCCTCTTCCCCACTGAAACAACTCAAGAAGTGGTCCGAGAGTCCCCCCATGAGACCCAGCCAGGTACGAACCTGGGACGGAACCAGATGGGACTTCATCCAGTTCACCAGGATCCCAAACCCGACGAGCTGGGAATGAACCACACCATAGGTGAACAGACACAATCTTGCTGGGAGCCCACACTAACCAACCATCGAGGTAGGCCAGAACCCGAACCCCTAGCAGATGCAGATGGGTTACCACATCCCAGGTAAGATGCGCGAATACACGAGGTGCCAGATTTAAGCCAAAAGGAAGGCAACGAAAGCAGTAAGCCTGCCACCCCACCACGAAACCTAACCAGTTCCTGAACCCGGGATGAATTGGGACGTGCCAATATGCATCCCGGAGGTCCAGAGACACCATCTAAGTGCCCAGCTCCATAAAAAGCCAGACCTATCACAGAGTGGTCATCCGAAAGGAGGGGACAAGGAATCCAAGAGTTCAGACGGGACAAGTCCAGAATGAACCGCAGATCCGTAAAGTCCCGTTTCGACACTGGAAACAGGCAGGAAACCCACCTATGGGACGGGGTCATTCCGACCATGCCCAAACGCACCCACTCCAAGATGACCCAATGGAGTGTAGGGGAAGAAGCCTGCCCTGCCAGCCCAGAACCCCCTTTCCCCCCCCCGAAGGAGAAGGAGCTGCCCAACACCACCACAGGCCAGACGATACAACTCAAAACGACCATAAACCGTGGGACCAGGCATGAGCAAACAGTGCGAGCCTTCCTCCCCCCCTCCCATCAACACGTCAACGGGTCGACCTGCAAAAGGGCTGACGCTCTTACAAGAAGCCTGCCGATGAGCAGAGCAGGCATTGCACTGACCAGACGACGCCGGCTAAAAAGAAGTTGCCTGCTCAGAAATTAGCACCAATGGCCCACCTCGACTGGAAGAACCCTGAGCCCAGGCACGACCCATCCAAGAAATGCCCCCCCCCCCCACAAAGTACCAACAAATCCGACATAGGACGACAACTAGAGTTTCAGCAGTTTCTGCCGCCTGCAGAAACTGCGTGAGAGCAGCCTCTACAAACAGCAACATATAAAAAGGTGACGAAAACTTAAGAGCCAGGGCCCAAGCGAATTCCAAAGAGAGCTAGCACGGCCTGATGGCACGTGAGGCGAGAAGCAAAGATCAGACAACTCCACTCTGAGAATCGGCGCAAACAGCTTCAACGTCGCGTCCTCCTCTAGTCCTCTTCCCTTTCCCTCCTGGGGAGGGGAGGGCTGTGCAGACAAGCAGCGAGGCGGCGGTGTGTGATATTTGCTTGTTTGCTTATTTCGTTAGGTTGGGGGAGTTCTGCCTCTCTATTTGGTTGCAATTTTTTCTTACCATGTGGGGTCTACCTGCATGGTAGACCCCTGCTTGATGGGGTTCTGGGAGTTCTTCTACTCCCCAAGCCTGGCCTTGACTTGTGAGAGTTTGGTCTACCAGGCTGTTGCTTGGAGCAGCCCACAGGCCCACATACCCACCACAGCCCGGTTTGGTTCGGCACTCCTTGGAGGAAACAATCTAGTTTCCCCCACATGGACTACCTATGCCTACCTTTCTGGGTGCTAACCCCGGTCGA